CGACTCAGCCCCTGGACAGCATCTCCTGGTTCTCCTGCCATCGGGCAGGAGATACAGAAGAAGAGCCAGCCAGACAAACAGGCGGAAGAACAGCTTTTATCCACTGGCCACCAGACGACTAAAGGAAACATAACACCACGATCAGGCTTAATGTGATAGACTTACAGTGCCGGTATATATACCAGTGTAATATTAATATTATCTCCAGAGGTTGTGGATGCTCCAACACTGGAAGTTTTGAAAAAGATGTTGGATAATTGTTCGTCTGAAGTGGTGCAGGGTTTCCTGTCTAGGCAGGGGGTTGGACTAGAAGGCCTCCAAGGTCCCTTCCAACTCTGTTATTCTATTTCTATATCTATCTGCCTGCCTGCCTGCCTGGGGAAAGGTGTGCTAGTTTATTGCTTATCTAGGGTTAGGGATTTCTTTATTCTTTCTTGATTTATGGAGATGTATTCTGTGTTCTTGGTGGGCTGCACCAAGGGAGGCCCATCCAATTTCATTGTACGCATCTTGTGCATTGACAGTAAAGAGTTGAACTTGACTCTCTGATTCGTGGATTCCCTTTTGATCATTGGGGGCTGTCTTTGTGCCCCCCTTTTTCTGCCCCTCCGAGGTTTCAGAGGCTCAGCAGCCCTGAGGTCACTTCGGCCAGCCTGGACCTTGACCTCATTTTGGGGGGGGGCAGGGGAGCCCCCCCAGCAGCATCAACCCCCCTCCTGTCTCCTTGCAAGCAGCCTCTGCTCCCGAGAGAAAGGAGCAGCCCCAAACAGGCCCCCTTTGACCCTTCCCCAGAGAGAGGCAGGGGGAGTTCAGAGCCCTCTCCAAATGACAGGTGGTCCTTGACTTACAACAGTTCATTTAGTGACCATTCACAGTTACAACAGATCCCAAAAAAGTGACTTATGGCCATTTTTTCAGAGTTATGACCTTTGTAGCATCTCCTGGTCACGTAGTCAAAATTCAGACACTTGGTAACTGACTCGCATATATAACGCTTGTGGCAGCATCCCTGAGTCACCTGATCCCCCTTTGCGACCTTCTGACAAGCAAAGTCAACAGGGAAGCCAGGTTCACTTAACAACCATGTCACTAACTGAACAACTGCAAGGATTCACTTAACAACTAGGGCAAGAGAGGTTGTCAAATGGCGCAAAAATCAACAACTGCCTTGCTTAGGAACAGAAATCTGGGGCTCAGCTGGACCAGCTGCATGAGAAGGAAACAAGCCTCACTTCCTCGCTCCAGACGGGAAACACAAAATAATGATTAAAAATCGGACCAAGCAGGCTGGACCCCGATGAATGTCGAGGGAGAAATGCCGAGGAGAACCGGGTGTGGAAGCCTTGGGGCCCCGGCAGAGCCTGGACAACCGTCTCTTGGGGTGAAGGCCCTCCCCCCCCCCTCCAGGGACTGGAATGTGGGGCTGCGCCTGCTGCCAAGTCTTGCCCAAGTCTTGCGGGGGCAAAAGGCCAAAGCTGCCCAGTGGCCATGCTACCCTGGAGCACCACGCCTTCCGAGCGCGGCATGGGTGGTGTCTGCAGAACCAGGGAAGCAGATCCCCGGAGGGGAGGAGGAGGAGGCAGGCGGTTCCTCCGTTTAGGGCAGCCACGGGTGCAAGCTGAAGGCTCCCCCTGCATCTGGTAAGAGGCAGCCAGGGGAGGGCGGTGGGCTGCTGAAGGTGGGGGGGCCCTTTGCCCCTGCTCCCCCTGTGGTGGCAGGGAGGGGGGGCTTTCCTGGCCCGTGGCCCTGTTTCATGCCCCAAGGGAAGTCGGCTTGGCTTCGGCCAAGCTTCGGAGGGGGGCTGCGTGCCTCGCTGCCTTGGCCCTTCTGGGCAAGCGGCTTCTGCTGTTCCTTTGGGGGGGGGCTGAGGGGGAGTTCAGGGAAGGTGACGCTCTGCTTCCCCTGGGAAATCAACAGCCAGCCCACATCACGGTTTCCCCTCTCTGGCCATGTCCGACTGGGCGTGCTGCTCACCTCTGTGTCTCGTCTCCAATGTCTCCAATGTCCGAAAACATTTATTTCCATAGTTATGTGGTCAGCCTGACTATATGCCAAGGCACACAGAACGCTGTTACTTTCCCATCAACGTGGTATCTACTCGCATTTGCAGGCTTTCCAACTATTAGGTAGGCAGGAACTATGGGAAGGACAGGCGCTCAGCTCATGGCACAGTGCTCGGGGCTCGAACCCAGGCTGGCAGTTCTCCAGCTAACAAGCTCCGTGTCTTTAACCGTCGAGCCATGGTGTTCCCCCTCCCCTGCCCATAGCACACATATAGCATCCCTTGTTTTGGGCTTTGGCCGGTGCTCCCCACCTGTCAGACTTCCCAGGTAAAGCAGGCAGGAAACACGAGCAGAGGAAGTAATTCTACTCAGAGGTGGGCGGCTGCCGGTTCGCACAAGTTCACACGAACTGGTGGTTAAGATTCTGTGCCGTTCGGCGAACTGGCAAATCCCACTCTAACCCTAAACCTTCCCCTCATCCCCCAAGGCCACCCACACTTTCCAATGCAGAAACAAGAGCCCTGGAGGGTTGCAACGGCCCAGCCAAACGGTTCCTCACCAGAGCAACCCACTAATCCGGTGGGAGATCTCCAAGGGGAGCAGGGTAGAGCTCTGGCCGCCCCGGCTTGGCACAGCAAATGGGTTTCCTGCTGGCCTTCCTTTGCACAGGGAAGCTGCATGGCAGGTTGCCCTCCTGCCCCTCCTGCCCTGGCTATGAAGTGGGATCAGGCCAATGGCACAGCCACAAGCGATCCAATTGTCAAAGAGTCAAGTTGGCAGCCGGCCCTGGGCTTTTACAATATTTTGTTGCGTCCTCAAAATATCCCTTTTCCTTTCAAAGAGTGGATTCACTGGCAAAGAATTGGTGGCCCAAACCTTCTCTCCCTGGGGGAGGAGGAGGAGGAGGAGGAGGAAGAAGGGAGAGAGAATGAAGGGGGAGGAGGAGGAGGAGGAGGAGGAAGACAAGGAGGAAGGAGAAGAAAGGGAGGAGGAGGAGGAAAACTGGAACGGTTACTATTAACATTGAGATAAGCCATGTTTTGAAAGCCAACAGACCATTCAAACCTGGTGACAGGATGCAGACAACCTGGAAAGGGCCTGAGGTCCCTTGCGGGATTTATGGCTCCCAGTCAGCCAGAGCAAGGGGATCCGAGGAATCCTTGTTGGGGGTTCAGTGAATGGATACCTCACCCCCACCCGGGCCATCCTAAACCCTGGAAGGATGGAAGGAAGCCGTGGTTCCTGGCTGCCGCCTCCAAGGGTTTTTCCCTCCATCAACACAAGATAACTGGCACAGAGCGGGGGGGGGAAGGCGGTGAGCTAGGCAGAAATTAATCTATTAAATTTATAGGCTTCCCATCTATTTGAGGGATGGGATTTGCTCATAGGGCTGTAGAACTAACCCTAAAAACATGTGAAGGGGAACAGACAAATTGAAGAGGAGGAGGAGGAGGAGGAGGAGGAGAGAAAGGAAGAACAATTAACCAGTGGAACAGCCTCCCTCCAGACGTTGTGTGGTTGCTCCAACTGTGGAGGTTTTAAGGAAGAGATTGGACAACCGTTTGTCTGAAATGCTACAGGGTCTCCTGCTTGAGCAGGGGGTTGGACTAGAAGACCTCCGAGGTCCCTTCCAATGCTGTTTTTCTGCTATCTAACTATCATGGCATAGAACCTCTTTCTCTCTCTTTCTCTCTCTTTCTCTCTCTCTCTCTCTCTCTCTAATTGGTTTTGTCCGGAAAGAGGCTCCGGTGGGGCTGGGAAAGGAGCTCTTGCGTAACACGGCCTCTCTCGCTGCTTCAGGGCCCAACTGCTTCCCCCGTGCCGGTCAGCTGCTGTTTGGGATGCCCTTGAATGCATCCTCCTCTCTTTCTGGAGATTAAAAATAGTCCTCAGACAGCTGACTAGCGTCTGTGTGTGTGTGTGTCCCCCAGGGCAGGAGCTCTTCCGCACCAGCTGGCTCTTTTAGAGGAAGATGGAAAGTGGATTTAGTGCTATTTCGGCAAATAGAGAAACCTGTAGTCCAAGAAGAGCACAGGAGGACTTCGATGCCCAGAAGCTGTTCTGGCCGGGGGATTCTGGGCGTTGAAGTCCACCCGTCTGGAAGTAGCCAAGGCTGGACACTCGGCCTTAGATGTGCCATGCAGGTAGCCCCACCTCCCTTGTCCACCCTGGCTGGGGAAGCCTCTGCAGAACTGCTGCCAGGGATCACGCCTTCGGGCCCAGCCCAGAGATGGCGGCACAGGTGGACAGCCAGGTGGACGGGGCAGGTGGGCCCAGCTGAGCCAGGCAGGGCCAGAGAGAGGCTGTTCCTTCCTCCGGTACAAACGTTTCCCGTCTCGGATCAGCGCAGCCGTTTTCGGGGGCAGAGAGGCGTAGCTGCAGCACCAGGGGGTCCTCAACCTGCAACCATCCGTTCAAAGTTACAACACGGAAAAAGCGACGTGGCCGTTGATCGCACTTCTAACCATTTCAGCCTGAAACTTTGGCCACCGATTCACACTTATAGCGGCTGCTGCAGTGTCCCAGGGGTGATGCGACTTCCCCTTTTGTGAATTTCTGACAAGCAACATCGACGGGGAAGCCAAATTCACTTAACAACCATCGTATTCATTTACCAACTGCAGTGATTCACTTAACAACGGTGGCAAGAAAGGTAACGCGACGGGGCAAAACTCACTTAACAACTAGACATGTTGGGCTCAATTATGATTGTAAGTGGAGGACTACCTGATTTTTTTTTAAAAAAAAAGGCGCACCGGAGAGACCCATTTCTCTGATTTCCATGGTGCTGGAATGTGTTTCGTTTTCTAAGCGTCCCTCCGTTTCCTCTCCCTTTATTCCCTGCAGGGAAATAAAATCTGGGGGCGGCAGAGCCTCTGGAGGAGGAGGAGGAGGAGACACCCCTCGGCACCCCACGGTCTCGGCACAACTGGATCCGGGCATTGACCATTGTTGTTCCGAAAGCTGCAACCCTCTGAGGAGAGCCCGCTGAGGAGCATGGGCCTCGTAGTCCACCTGCTGGTCTGCCTGCTGGGCACCGGCTCCTGGGTGGCCATCAACGGCGTGTGGGTGGAGCTGCCGCTGATGGTGCCCCGCCTGCCCGAGGGCTGGCTGCTGCCCACCTACCTGACCGTCATCATCCAGCTGGCCAACCTGGGGCCCCTGGCCTTCACCCTGGCGCACCGCTTCCTCCGGGGCCGGGTGGACGAGGTGGCCGTCATTTACGGGCTGCTGGTCCTGGGCTGCCTGGCCTGCCTGCTGCTGGCCTTCTTCTGGCAGGAGACGCGGCTGCTGGGCGCCTCCCGCTACAGCCTGGCGCTGCTGGTGCTGCTCTTCTTCCTGGCCCTGGTGGACTGCACCTCCTCCGTCACCTTCCTGCCCTACATGCGCCGGCTGCCCTCTCGGCACCTCACCACCTACTTTGTGGGCGAGGGGCTGAGTGGGCTCCTCCCGGGGCTGGTGGCCCTGGGGCAGGGGGCCGGAGTGGCTCGGTGCGTCAACGCCAGCCTGCTGGGCAACGGCACCACGGAGCTGCTGGCCGAGTACCAGGAGGCCCGTTTCTCCGTCCGCACCTTCTTCCTTCTGCTGAGCGGCATGATGGCCTCCAGCCTGGCAGCCTTCCTCGTCCTCAACCACCTGCCTCGGCTGGCAAAGGGGAGCCGTGCCTGTCAAGGGAGCCTGGATGGCGCAGCCGCCACGGGGACGGGGTGTCCCATGCTCAGGCCCCCCGACTCCGGCGCTGGCACGGCCCCCTTCCGTGTCCGGAGGGCCTTTGTCTTCGGGCTGATGGGCTGGGCCAACGTGCTGACCAACGGCCTCCTCCCCCCGCTGCAGTCCTACTCCTGCCTGCCCTACGGCCACCTCACCTACCACCTGTCCGCCACCCTGGGCAGCCTGGCCAATCCACTCGCCTGTTTCCTGGGCATGTTCCTGGTCAGCAGGTGAGCCAGGAGGGGGCGGAGCCGTGCTAGAGAGAGACCTCAGCCCTGTTGACAGCCCGGGTGGGAACTGGGCCCATATGGGCCACCCAGCAGGCCCCCGAGAGCTGGCGGGTGGACACTTCCATTGGGGGGTTCTTTGCTGGACGACCTCCCTGCGACAGTGGAGGCAGCGGGGGTGCCCCAAAGCTCCCATGCCACCTGCACAGCTGGCACTGCCCTCCTACACAGCTGTGCTTACCCAGAGCCCTTGTCTCCCGGCTGGAGGGCAGGAGGGACAGCCGGGGAAGGGAGGGGGCTTGGAGAGATGTCCTCCCTTACCAAACCTGACCTGACCCAGCCTGGCACCTGAATGCCCAAACGCCAACGCTGCCACTCACAAGGCAGTCGTGCAACTTAGGGGAGGGGCAGCCCACCTTTGTGGCCGGAGAATCTCCGGGGGGGGG